AAAACCACCAGGTCATTCAGTGTTCCCTTAGTGCTAATGTGTAAGAGATGTTGGTGTACTATAACTGAAGTAATGTTGTTAAGTCCTTAAAGTCATATTCTTTTATTGTCATGACTCTATATGAAGCTATTTTTATTTTTGTATGATACCTGATTTATATGGAATATGGCTGAAGTAAACTAAAGCCTAAAATACTTCATTTTTTTAATAGTAGCATTATATAATTCACATATAAAACTATGAATTGTAATTTTAAATGGTTTAAAAGCATGCAGAATACCATATGTAGGCAAGTATATTTCTCTCTCTTTTTTTTTTTATCAAGAAGCAAACACAAAAAGGAAGGAGAAAAAAGAAACAGGGCAGGGTTCGGTGGTTGAATCATCCGTCCCCACCAATGCCAAAACCAAATCTACACCCCTGCCCAGATGCATCTCTCAGGTCCTGTGTCAGGTCACTGCTGGATTATTTCCTGTTTCTTAAGGATGTGAGTTACAGATACTGTTCATCTCCTGTCAATAGTTTTTAAGCCTGCTGATTCTTTATTTGTTGCCTGTTATGTTTAGACAGAACTTCACCCCTTGGGTGAAAAAGCATCCAGTGTCCAAAGGCAACCTTTGAAAGACCTTCAGAAAACCTGGAGAACTATTGCTTTAAAAAATTACAAGAATGTTTGGCTCCTTGGAGGGAAAATACAAGGAAACGAGGGGTGGCTTGAGACTTTAGCACAGTACTGGAAATACCAATACATTACTTACACTACTAATACTGATGCATTACTTAAAATTACTTACGCTATTTCAGTAAAATGCCATTGATGCATTGTATTTATAGGACAACTAGACACAGGTAATTTGCAGAACTTGCCCATTGTTAGGCTCTTTACATCTTACCCTAACAACAATGAGCATATTTGCCAAAATGTCAGACTACTGCTTCACATTCAGCCCTAACTGTCTGACAAAAACGCAGCTCCTATTTAACCTGATCAACACTGACAAATCAAAGGCCTGCAAGCAGAGGGCTACAGTCAATACCAGAGGGTTGTGAACCTGGCTCATCTTTAACCATATCTCAATGTAATGTCATGTCAAGCACGCTTGAGCTTTGATGCAAACATAGTATTATATTCTAACCCTGTAATTTAATTCTGGCTTTAACAGGGAGGCGATGAAGAGAAGATAATCCAGGAGAAATGTGATCTCCTACTCTTGTTCCCTGTTAGCTCTCCGGCCGCTGCGTTTTCAATCACCAGAAGGCTTTTCGGGGAGCTTTAAAGATAACTGTACACCATAGAAATACAAAAACGAAGCCTAGAAGTAACAAATGCATTGAATTTCACCATCGCTTACAGAGCATCTTCCTAAAAACCCTCACCAAAAGAGGATCTACTGCAGCATTCACAGTGTAGTTTTCAGCAGGGTGAACCAGATCAACAACTACAATTCGAAACTAATCGAAGAATTAACCCTGATTTAACCCCCTGCTACTGGGGAATTATGCACTGAAACGCGTGACATTTTCTTTTTCGCTTCTTCTTCTTCTGCTTTCTTTGGTTTCACATTTTTCACCTTCACCATCACCTCCCCGGCTCCCCTATTAGTCTCGCTCTACAGTTGCTCTTTTGATCAGCCTTCACTGGCTCTTCTTCTTCTTCTTCTCTTTGTCTCGTCCCCTCCTTCTGTTCACCCCTTGTTTCACTTCTTCTTTCCCTGCCTAACACCTCTTCAGCAACCGTCCTCATGCCCCCCTTCTCCCCCCTCCATTTGCTATGTCTCTCTCGCCCTTTCG